AAAGTGGAACTGATGTGAGAGCGCTTCCTGGTGCTCGGCGGTTGATTAGGGTGGCCAGGTGTTTGCGGGATCAGTCAGGGCATAATACTCGCAGGACTTTGTGAACGTACCTGAGCCGATTATCGAGTCGTTGGTGTATGTACTGGCCTTTGCACGCACCTGTATAATGGTCACGCCTAACGTTTTCAGACGTATCTCTGACCTCGTATCTGAAAAGCAGTTCACTCTTTTTGAAACTGCGGATGGCAACGCGGGACGTGGAACACGTTTTCACTCTTTTTCATATAACAACAACACGTTTTCACTTTTCTTTGGTGCTAATCTGTAAATCAGACGGTTCGATATACATGTGCTTTAGGCGATCAATGACATGATGACTCGTTCATGGTGAAGCCGATTTTGTGTCTGAGCCTTCATTGGCTGCCTGGTTAGAGATGCTGGGGATCGCGAAGCTGGGGATCGTATGATTGTCGCCTTCATTGGCTGCCTGGTTAGAGATGCTGGGGATCGCGAAGCTGGGGATCGTATGATTGTCGGTGCCGTAAAGCGTGTCATCGGCGGGTCATGTATGCGCCCGTCGAAAAACACCCGCTTGTCTGTGACCGACATTCCCTACCGGTGGTGCTCCTTTCTTTTCCCTCGTCTGTTTCCCCTTACTTTTCCTTCTTGCTGTACCTACCACCCTTGGGTCTAAGCAGCTTTCTGTCGTTGTCCCAACCTCTTCTCTACCTCTCCGTCGCTCCGTCGCATCGCCTCTCGATATTGCCTTGCTCTTTATTTCCCTTCCTCTTACCTCCTCCCCTCCTTCCGCTCTCTCCGTCCCTTTCCCGTTCCCTGTTCCTCTTCTTCTCTTCCTGTGCCACTCCTCTCCATCTCGTCCTCTCCCTCCCTCCTCGATCATCCCTCTCCCTCCTGATCGTTTGGCGGGCCCTTGATCGTCTCCTCGCTCTCCATCTTCGTCTCGTATCTTCCGTTCGATCTTCTCCTCGTCTTCCGTCTTCCTCTCGCCCTCAGTCTTCCCCTCGGCCTCAGTCTCCCCCTCGTCCCCCACTTTCCCCGCACTTTCTATCTTCTTCTCCCCCTTCTTCCCTCGTCTCCCCCCAACCCCCCCAGTGTAGATCGTGGTCTTCCTCTATATCTTTGCCTCCGCCTTCTTCTCCTGCTGCTTCGCCCCCCTCAGTCTTCCTCTACTCTGTCTTCCACTCCCCTCTCCTTGATCTCTCCCTTCGCGTTCCCTTAAAAATTTTCACCGTCAATCTGTCCCTCCCCTCAATCTTCCCTTCCCCGGAATCTTGCTCCTCTTCGAATCTTGCCCTCCGATCTCTCCCTCCTTCGATCTTGCCCTCCCCCGAATCTTGCCCTCCCGTGAGTCGTGCGCTGCTCTCCCACAAATCTTGTCCTCCCCTTCATCTTGCCCTCTATCTTGTCTAGTTTTCCCTCGTCAATCTTGACCTCCTCAAATCCTTCCCCCCCCCCCCCCCCCCCCCCCCCCCCCCCCCCCCCCCCCCCCCCTGACCGCTCTTTCCTGTTGTCTTTTGTCTCCTTTCTCCCCCCTTCCTTGTTCACTGTCGGCCTCCTCTTCGAGCTTTCTTTTACGCTTCAACGTCTCCTCTCTTCCTCTTCTCCTTCCTTTCTCCTCCTCCCACGTCCTCCCTCCTCCCTGTGCCTATCCTTCCTCCATCCTCCCCCTTCCTCGCCACGTCCTTCCTCCATCTTCCCGCTTCCTCCTTCCTCCCCCCTACCTCACCCCTTCCTTCCGCCTTCTCCCTCCGTCCTTCTCTTTTCTCCCGTCTTCTTCCCCTCTTCTTCGCTCCTCTGCTTCTGCCGTTCGTCCCCTCGGCCTACCTTCATCCTCCCCCCATGTCCTGTTGTGTCGCTGCTCGTTTTTCTCGTCGTTTTCTCGTCCCTGTACTTGCCCGTTCAAATCGTGTCCTCTACTCCGCAGTGGCATCTCATCTTCCTCACTCTGCCTCCGTCTCTTTTGCATTCCTTGTCCGTTTCGGTGTCTGTTTCTTTCTCTGTCTCTGTGCTTCTTTCCGCCTCTCTCTGTATCTCGCTCTGGGTTTCTCTCACTGTCTCTCTCTCTCTCTCTCGATTTCTCTCGGTCCGTCTCCCTGGTTGCCCTCTCCTTGTCTCTCTCGCAGCTGTGCTCCCTCGTCCCTCTTTCGCCTCCGCTCTTGGTTCCCTCTGTCCCACTCTTTCGCCCCACTTCTGGCATGGTCTCGTCTATGTCTTTGGCTGTCACCCCGCTTCCCTCTTTCAACTGCCTTCCTCGTTCGCCTTTGGGTCCCTCTTTCGGTCTTTTTTCCCTCTCGTTTTTCTCTCTCCGTCTCTGTCTCTCTTTCCCTCTCCATTTCTCTCCCAGTTGTGCTCCGTTCCCTCTCGCCTGTCTCCTTTCGGCTCTCTCTCGTCCGTTTCGTTTGCTCTGCTTTCGGCTCTCTCTCGCCCGTCTTCCGCTCTCGCCCCTGCTTCCCTCGTTCGTCGGCCCCTCTTTTGCCCCTAGCCCCCTCTTGCGCTCCTGTCTCCCTGTCTCGTCCTACCCCCCTTCATCTCTCTTTCGTCCCTCTTGCCCCCGCCCCTGCTTCCCTCGTTCGTCGGCCCCTCTTTTGCCCCTAGCCCCCTCTTGCGCTCCTGTCTTCCTGTCTCGTCCTAACCCCCTTCATCTCTCTTTCGTCCCTCTCGCCCCCGTCTTACTTCCCGCGTCTCACCCTGATTCCCCTTCTTGTCTCCTCTGGGTGGCGGCCCTCCATTCCTTCTGTTCTTCCCCTTCGTTCTCCTTGTCAACACTCTTTTCCTTTCCTCACCCTTCACGCCACCTCCTGTAGTTTGTGGTTCTTATCCCCCTCCCTACCCCCGCCTCTTGAGAAATGGAATCCTTCTCCCGTAGTCACCATGCGAGTTTTATCGGGGGGATGCAGTTCCATGCCCGTGGGTTGGAGCTATCGTGATAGGAACCCTTGAGCCTTGTGAAGACAACGAAATCATTGGTGTATATCTTACTACCGTCTTCCCCCGAACACAACGCACCCTCATTTTGGCAGTCTCTGCCCGGAAATATAGCTTGTATACATGTATATTAGTGTGCGTTATGTTCGGGGGAAGACGGTAGGATGCCGGTGTGAACGACAATGGTAGCGTGGGGAAGGATGAGCTACTGTAGGCAACTGATGTAAATGCAAGGTAGTTTCACTGTGGTATTATGTCAGGATGAGGGTTTAAACGAGAATGGTAGCGTGGGGAAGGATGAGCTAGGTAAATTGTGTATATGAGAGGTGCTTTCACTATGGTATTATGCCAACAGCATCTCTGTATAATGTAAAGCACTAAACGTTATCCAGTTTGGAGTTTTTTTTTTTTTTTTTTTTTTTGCTTTTGGTTTGGAGAATTATAATGAGGTGCAGTCACTCTTTTTGTGGTAGGGATTGTGCCATCATCGGCGGATTATGAAGATCGAAAATTTTTGGCAGTACCTTGTTTTTTTTTTTTTTCGGATAGTTCAACTCTTCGAGTGACTTCAAATTTTGATACGCGCATTTTATTTATCTCAGTTCTTTTTTTCATCAAATCGCAGTTGCGGATAACGGGAATCGAACCCATATCCCCTGCTTGGAAGGCAGACAATTTACCTTGAATCTATATCCGTTTTACGTGTCGAAGCAAATTCTCCAAATTTATGATCAACCATATCTTCCGTAATCTGTAAACCAACAAAATATTTTCCGTTATAAACTTGTGCATAGTAACGACAAATTTATAGGCAAAATACAAGAAACCAAAAATAATCTTGCTATAGAGAACGGAGACAGAGAGAGATCATGTGGGTACAGTACGGGAATAGCTTCCGTCCATGGTCTGCATTTAGACTGTCATCTCCCCGCTAACATAAGGCCGTCCTTGTGCTTCGAGGCAATTGGGCTGCTGTACCTATGAAGTACACTCGCGGGCATTGTGGGGGAACTACCGGGTAGGGTGTGCAGTCCCCCAGCGAACGTATCCTCATGCAAGGGGTACGTGGGCGTGCCCGATAGGATATGCTGAGCACCATGGACCAGGCTCTCATAACGTTGTTCTAAAACGAACAGTCGTTTTCAGTCAAATAATGGGCCTCGCTGCACTACTCTTGAAATGCACAAAAGACAAAAATCATGGCCGTGTATCTTTCCATATTCTAGCGGAAGATTCACTCTCGTTTTGCACATTTCGAGAGTAGTGCAGCCAGGCCCAATGACCGCTCAAAGAATTGGTGAGAGGGTGTATGTAGATCTGCGAAATAAAATGTTTCGGTGCATTTTTTTTGTCTTTTTGACTATTGCTGCCTTAATAGTGGGGTTGGCGATAGAGTAGTGGAGTTCAAATCTAACACGGTTTCTTTCGGTCGGATGTCGGTTGTTGCAGACGTATACAAAGGCACTTGCAGTCGATCCGAACTTCAAGGAAGCGCGAGAAAATCTTGCAATCGTGCTCACGGATTTGGGAACTCGTTTAAAGTTGGCAGGGAACGTTCAGGAAGGGATCACGAAGTACTTTGACGCAATTCACGTGGATGACAGATATGCAGTAAGCCCTTTGTCTTTTTTCAAGGAACTGTTAAACCAAACGTCTCATGCCCATGATACATGAATGTGCGTTTCTTGGAGAAACAGGAGTCTCGAGTAGATCTATTTGCGCAAGTGCTCTTCTTTGTTCATGGTTGCTGGATTTCGGGCAACCCATAACACATCATGGAAATGCAGGGGGTTGTGTGTGTGTGTGTGTGTGTGTGAGAGAGAGAGAGAGAGAGAGGGAGAGTCCAACGCGTATCAATAGATAGTATGAGGCGGAACCAAGAGTGCAATAATCGAACGTGGCAGAAGAAGAAAATAAGCGATCTGACTCATCTCAGAGTAGCACGGACTCCTCCTGGTGCAGCACACGGGGATAGCCGTAGAAGGCGAGGGTAGGAGTGGAAGATGATCCGAGGGAAGCAGAAGAGGAGAGAGTGCGAGAGTCCAAGCAAAATAGCTGAAATGATAGTAATCCTCTCCAATCCTGCAATCGTCTCAGAAGTAATCACCCTGAAATGGTTGCCTAGTTTCTGATCCCTCTTCTCTGGAATCCAGGCAGGAGGGGGTTGGGACATGAAGAATAGGAAAAGAAGAGGGAGGGATAGCGCAAAAATGCAATCAAGCTGATAGCATTTCCCCATTCTCTATGGGGGCCAGAAAGCTTTGCCCATATGGTAAACCGCGGGGGGAGGGGTAGTAAATGAAAAGTCTAAAATAAGTTCTGACCTCGAATCCGACAAAACAGACAGCGCCAACAGAAAGGAAAGTTCTCTGCAGTATGGCATGTACTCGGTATGGTAGAATTGCCGCAGGCCAATGAGAGGATGACATTCCGCTGGAAAAAAGTCGAAAACATAATGGCAAACGGGTGCATAAAGTGTGGCATCCGGTGGTTTTGGGGCTCAATTGTAAGGCTTCTTTTTTGTTGTTGAAGAACATCCCTTGTTGTGTGCTAGGGGTGTTGATTAGAGCAATCACCTCCTCTAGCCCCTAAGGGAGACTCCGTAAGGCTGAAAGTGACGGTTGCCAGAGTTCTTCCGAAAGATGGAGAATTCTTTGGAAAGGATGCGAACTCTTTCCAGGCCAGTCAATGTGCAGTGCTTGCTGGTTATTTTTTGTCTGTGTATCCACTCCCTGGATGCCTGAGTTTTTCTGATTGTCAGCGGATTTGTGTTGCTCTTCGTGTTATGCACGCACACATTTAATGGTTGTACGGTTGTGGCTGTTGTTCATATGAATACGATTTAATGATGTAGTCAACATGTCCAGGTGTCTTCTTTGTGAGAGGATCAGTGGCAGGAAATTGTCGTGTTGTGGGCGTGAGGATTCCTAGGAGCTGTTTGGATGATGACATGTGGGGCAGTGAGTGTGGGGTTCAATGTGGATGCTGGCCGAAATGGTATCTTTTTGCACTTGCTTGATTGTTGTGAAGATGGAGAGTTAAAAAAAAGAAGCGTCCTCAAGAATTATTTTCTCTCTCTCTCGCTCGCTCTCTCTTTGTGGCTTGTGTAGCCGGCATACTACAACCTTGGGGTGGTATATTCCGAGATGGGAGAGTTCGACACGGCACTGAATTTTTATGAGAAGGCTGCGACATTGAGGCCTATGTATGCGGAAGCGCACTGCAACATGGGAGTGATCTACAAAAACCGAGGCGATCTGCATCAAGCAATAAACTGCTATGAGAGGTTTGTTTTGCGATTCTTGATATTTTCTTTGAAAAAGTAAACTTGGCCTCTTGTTCCTGGGAGAATTTCTTGCTTCCGTCAGTTTTCTCTCATCTTTTTCTGAATATTGCCTCTTGATTGGTCGGGCTGTTCTGTAAGCATTTAGAGCTCTCCCATGGCAAGTGACACAATTACTCTGTGTGTGTGTGTGTGTGTGTGTGTGAGAGAGAGAGAGAGAGAGAGAGAGAGAGAGAGAGGTTACCCTGGGATGTGTCTGATGGTCCTTTTCATTCTTGTGTACATTATGTGTCTGATGGTCCTTTTCATTCTTGTGTACATTATGTGAACCATAGCGGGCGTATTCTGATATGATTGGTTCAACAGAATGAAAGTTTTCTGAATTACTGAGGGGCGGTCATTTCAATGGTGATATCTCCTATCCTCCAGTCTTATTCGTGGTGAGCAGCATGTGCTGGGAACTGGACCCAGCATGCCTTACCAAATCTACAGAACATGGTTACAATCCGGACGTCCGAACTGCAGTGTAGTTGGTCTGGGTCTGGATGTCCGGGTCTGGTGTCTGGTCTGGAGTGTCCGGATCCGTCCCTCCACGTGCCAAAGAAATCCGACTTAAAACAATAAAAAAAATATGGAAAAAAAGGGGTATGCAGCGTTGCAATACAAAAATCTTTTGGCTGACCAGCTCCAGACTCGTTGCCAAATCCAAGGAAAAAATAAACGTTCTTTTTCTTTTTTAAGAGTTTTTTTAATCCAGACAATCCGGAGCAGTCCAGAAATAGGTCTGGCCAGATGTCTGGACTGGTCTGGTGTCCGCATCCGGTGTAACCATGGTGCAGAACAATTTGAGATACCGGGGCCATTAACCAGGCTTTGGCTGAGAATATAACCAGGCTTTGGCTGAGAATAAAAGGAGTATTTGTGTTAACCTTCCGAAAAATAAAGAAATTCTACAGACAGTGGCCGCTTATGGCCATGTCCGGACCCAACAGCCGCTTATGATCGCAAAAGGACTCCACCAGAAGGCCATGGCCGGACCCAACAAACCTAACTGAGCCTCCGCCTCCGCCCTCTCGTTGCCAGATATCTGTATCAGGCCTCACATGCCCAACGAGCACAGGTCAGCATGACCTTGCCCCAGCTCTGGCCAGCGTCGTTCTGGCCTTGGTTCGCCTCTGGGCACTGAAAATGTCCCCTGTAAGGCAATTGCCTAGATTTCTCTACCAGGCCTCATACTCCCGCCTAGCAGCAGGTTACAGGGCAGCACAACCTCACACCAGCACTGGGCAGTGTTGTTATGGCATCGGTCATTCGTGGGCCACTGACAGTGACAGTGTCCAGGAAGCGCCAAATGGACTATTGGTAGACACTGTGGGTGTCCAAACACCATTTCCCCACCCCTCTCTCCAGTCTTTGACAAATTCCAACAGGCTTCGAACAAAGTTTCTGGATAATCAAAATTCCACCGTAGAACCCCTGAAGTATCGAGTATGGTTAAAGAATTCCAAGCTAGTGCATCACCACTTTGATATGAGAATGGTCTAACCCATGGTTGGCAGCCTAAAAAGTAAAACCCCGTCCCCATTGTCGAAAGAGTTGCCTGATGCCAGTCTAACCAAAGTAAGCTACCCTCAGCTGGTACCCACCATGTCAACCCTAACAAGACGCCCTGATGCCAATTGAATCCAGAGGCAGCTACCCCCGGCCGGTACCCATCAAAGCAACCATAACTCCGTGTTCGGAAAGGGTTCGAAGTCCCCGTTCCCAGCAGAAAGCTGAGCCATTGTTGTCAAGAAAAATCTCCTGCCCCTTTAAAGATTCTTGTTGCCGTCATCAAGGGGGTGAGGGACTGCCAGCAGGGCTACCCCGAGTCCATCCTTGAAAATAGGCTGCAGATCTCCATCCCGTACTGGTAGCAGACGCAGTAGAACCCTGTCTACACCCAACTGGTACCCGTTAAGGCAACCCTACTGAGATGTCCAGCACCAATCGTAACTGGGGCAAGCTATACGTGGCCAGTGCCAATCGTAACTGGGGCAAGCTATCCGTGGCCGGTACCCAACAAGACAACTCTGACCCCGTCCAAATACTTGGCGTCCCAACCACCACTGACCCTAGCCTCGAAGTTGCCTAGAGAGTCACGGTTTCCTGATCGAGTTGCTGCCCCCAAAAGCCACACTGTCTCCGTCACCCGAGGTGTTCTCCACCAGCTGCCCGTGGGCCTCTCCCAAAGGCGAGACGACACCCTTTGTGTCCTTCTGAAGAGTCGTCCTATAAACAAGAGCTGGAGGCCCAACAGGTGTTCCCCTTTTGTCCCTCCCACCAGGGACCAGAGTCAACAGCGGGAAAATTTAAAAACGTATTCATCTTGATTATCTCAACTAANTTCCCCTTTTGTCCCTCCCACCAGGGACCAGAGTCAACAGCGGGAAAATTTAAAAACGTATTCATCTTGATTATCTCAACTAAGGGACGAAGGAGAATGAATTCTGAGTGGATGAAATTGGGACTCGCTCAAGAAAAACACACGAACTTCAAGATGATGAAAAATCGTAAGGGAACTTGAATACCGAAATGATTGCTAAAGAGAATAGGTAGGGATGAGAAATTGAAATATTTTGCTGAAAACAACGGAAGATAGTGTGTTACATCAAATTGTGTAAAGGAAGGTGAATAGTACTGAATACAGAAATGATTGTTGAAAAGTATCCCGTGATGGAAAATAAAAATATTGAGATGAGATCTGAAGAAGATAGTGTGTTATACGTGAACGACTGATGAACCAATTTCATCAGATATGGTCAGGCATATCAATTGAACATTCTGAATGGAACAGAGAATATAGAACTCAGATTATAGAGGATTCTGTGAAATAGCTGGTAATTTCCAGATAAACAAAATCATAGGAGCGTCCAGAGTTACGTGAACACCAAGAAAAAGTGCAAAACGGATGGGAACAAGTGCAAAGCAAATGAGGTCAAGGCCGAGGGCCGCAGAAGAGCAATGGGATCGAAGAGAATCTTTATCGTAGCAGCGCTGTCCCGTCCGCTCTCTATCCCTGAACTTGTCTTCGATGAGAGCCAGTGGCATCTTCTTTGGCCTTGAACAGTGTGCTTGAATGGATTTCACACACCTCAAACTCCCCGTCTCCATGTCGCCACACTCCACTCAATGATGACTCCCACTGTGTCCTCACCCCACTGTCGTCTCACTCCACTCAGTGGAGCTGCAACCACCTGAGGATCTGCATTGCATCTCCAATAGTGCCCAATCCTCCCTTACCTAGCTGCATCAGCCTGTGGCGCAGCAGGTCAGCACGCAACAGGCTTGATTTAGTAGAACCACACCCTTGTCTTCTCACTCAGGCAAGACGATCTCAGTCAGAGCTTGAACCCCGTGATCATGTCGGAGAACACTAACGGACCTCCCCCTGCTAAGCACATCTGGCGAGCAGAACTTCCTTCCTTGCCGCACAGCGCTCTCCTCCCGTTGCCCGCTTCTCCCCCGTACTATCCCACGGCGAACCGGTGTGTGGAAACCCGGGGAGGGGCTACCTACCGTTCGCTGAAGCCATGGGCTACGGCGCCTGTCACTTCGCAGCGACCGCCTCCGAGGTCCTCAGCGACCAGTAGGGGTTGACTCTTGTGTGTCCTATCACGCACCCTGTTCTTTTTCCCCCTTTTTTTTTTTTGTAATTCCTTGAGCTTACTCCGCGGTGAGCTTCGTAGTCAGCAGGTGATTAGAGAAGGTTGGATAGCAGCGAGTACGTCAGTTAACTGATTATCCAGCAGAATCACTAAGCGGCGGTTTTATACAATCAACAGACGAGTGGCTAATCCCCCATAGCGACAAGTTTTCAGACCAGCKAACTTTCTCAGTTAACAGGCGAGTGACCAGGTTCTCATATCAGCAAGTTTGCAGTAAACTGATAAACCAACCAAGTTGTAGACTAGCGAATCTTCTCAAATGATACTCAGTCACCCTTCAGAGATGGGATGCGCGTTTTCCTGCCTCTCTCTCTCTTTCTCTCAGTCTCTGTCTCCCTCTCTCTGCGTGTGCCTGCTGTTTTTCTCTCTCTCTGCCTCTCTCTCTCTCTCTCTCTCAGTCTCTGTCTCCCTCTCTCTGCGTGTGCCTGCTGTTTCTCTCTCTCTCTCTCTCTCTCGGTCTCTGTCTCCCTCTCTCTGCGTGTGCCTGCTGTT